ATCTATCTATCTATCTATCTATCTATCTATCTATCTATCTATCTATCTATCTATCTATCTATGCAAGGTAGAGCGGGGCGGGGCGGGGGGATGGGGGATCTGGGCGGGGGGCACTGGGGCCCCAACTGCAATGAACCAGCTTTGGGGGGGCCCAGCTTGCAAAAGGTTGAGAACCCCTGCTTTATAGTATACCGCTGAGAATGATTTTTTTGCAGCATATTTGCATTCAGTTTTTGGTTAATAAATCAGCGTTAAAATGTCAAAGTAGGAAATTTCGCATGATGGTATCTCTGCTTCCACCTACAGGCTTAGAGTAACAAATTACCTGGAAGGGATGCCCACAGGCGAGGGCAATATTTGACTAGGGGTGGCCTTGCCCCCCCCCCCGGCAACCCCTCTAGATCCCCCCCTGGAGAGGAAGTGGTTTAGATTTGGATGTCATCCTGGTCCCAACCACTCAATGCTACCAGCTGTCAGCCATTCTTCGGAGACCACACCCTATGATCCTGTCTTCTCCGCCTCACATCAACGGCTCCGCCCTGCTTGTTTCTCTGCGGCCATTAGCGAGCAGGAAGACAGTGATGCTTCTTTTTCTCCAGGGTGGGTCTGAGCTGAAGAATCCAGCATTGAGTGACAAATTACAGAAACTGCTGCTGCTGATCAGTGTTTGTGTTAAAGCTGCTCCACAAACACCAACCAGGTAAATAGATCTTCTCATTTTGCAACTAAGTGTTTGTATTTTCATCCTTCCTTCAGAGCATAGAAATCAATTAAACACAAAGTGTTCAAGGCATTCAAAGTAGGTTGTTTGGTCTAAAGTGGAGGTCTTCAACAGGGGGTCTGCGACCCCTAGGGGTCCTCAGAGGTACTGCATGGGGGTCGCAAAAGTTTGGGTTGATTAGATTTTTTTTTATATTCTCCCCTGCAATTTTTTCCACTAATGGAAATGTCTTTAAATCCACATTAACATGAATTCATCACACTGTAGTAAACAGATAAATGGAGGCAGAAGATGTCTTTCAGTCATCAATGCTCACATTCAGCGACACACAGGAGCTCTTTCAAGCTGGGCACTGTTTCATTCACAACACCTGTCCCATCAACCAGGAATCAGAAATACTTTAATAGTGAAATTACTTTCGTTACATGACTCCATCAGTAAAAGAGTGACTTTAGGACCAGTTTAATATAACACAATTTCATACAATATATATATATAATTAGGGGGTCCCCGCTCCATCTCGCCATCCGTTTGGAGGTCTTAATCTGGAAAGCGTTGAAGACCCCGATCTAAGTTACAGAACTAACCACGTCACAAAAACACCAATATATATATATATATATTTTTTTTTTATTGTTTTTTTTTTTGTGTCACAGATACAGAAGAGCACCCATTATATAGTTACAGTAACATGAATAAGAAAAACATCCTGTGTGCACTTAGCAACTGTCCAGCTTCTTTTGTCTTCCCTACAAAAAATAAGCATAAAACAAGGCAAAAATAATAGTAATGAAAGAAAGAAAAAGCAGTTCAGCAACCATGTAAATAACAAGCCAGACCAACAACATATAACATAAATCAGAAAACAAGACAACACTAAAACACCCTAGAAAGTCTATTATAGCAATCCTGTTCCTGTATCTAATAAAATATAAGAAGGAGGAGACATCCTTACAGCAATTGAGCTAGGAATGGGCCCCACACCTCATTAAATATGTCTTCCCTCCCAGCCGCCCTATAGGGGACCCTGTATCCACTCCTTAAACATGGACTGAGTGGGAGATTTCCATTGGTGTAAAGTTATCCTGCACCTTGTTGTCTTAGCTAAACAGCACCAAGATTTCTGATGTTTTGACATTTTAATATAATCTGGGAGTAATCCTAACAAACATAATGCAGGGTTTTTGACCAAATGTGTACCCAGGGTTGTTTGGAAGATGTCCAGTAGGATCTATTTGATATCTTATAAAGAATTAGTTGAGATTATGCTTGACGCAAATAACAGTGCCACGATTAGCATAATTTTTCCCAATCATTTCCTTGAATCTCATGGCCAACATGCTTGAATCCCGTCCAGTTTAGGTGCATGCGTACTTCTAATAAGTTCATAGAAATGTGAAGCTCTTCTGTTTTTCTTTCCAGTCTTATGGGATATTACCTGGATTTGTGTCTGACTGTACTGAATATGTTTGAGAGAAAGCAATGTCTAATTTGTAAATCTCACCATAATTCTGAATTGAACAAATTATATTTCGTTTAAATTTCATCGAAGGATTTAAATCCCGCGTTTCCAGTCACATCCTCAAGAATGTGAATTCCAGATCTAACCAACTTGTCCCAAAAGAAGCTTTTCTTACCTATTAACAGTTTCTTGTTATACCAAATGGAGGATCTGCTTGATGAATACGGCTCATTTTTTATTATTTGTTGAGCAGTTTTCCAAGACTCTCTGGCAAAAGCCATTACTAGATCTTGAAGGCCTCCACAGTGAAAGGATAGTGAATGCCTTTTTGATGTCATGATTCAGGAAACAGTTAAGAATTTCATGCATGTCTGACATATTCAGCTAAATAAACTAGCAAAAAAAGGAAGAATAGAAAGGCAACCAATGACAGCAAAGGAAACACGTCACAAGCAGTGCAGGTTATAATGTATTTTTTTGTTTCAATAACTTTTTAACATTATTAGCTTTTTCCAAACTGCTCCATGAGGAAACATTTACTCTCCTCTCTTACTGCCGTCCAGCTAGAAATGAAGGGAAAAAGACGAATTAGGATTCTATACATTATAAGCAGGGTGAAGAGAAACATTATGTTTAATGAAATATTTACTATAAATTGAAGGTATTTGGATTAACAGGGTTTGAATTCCCAGAAAATTAATTAGACTTTTGGATCCAAACATTATTGAGACACAACTCGTCTAATAATTGTTTACATGGATAAATGCACAGGTTATGGCTTAATATTCTACAGAGTTGGACAGAATTTCAAGAAGGTTTTTTTTTACAAATATTGTTTCTATGGTTTGTGGGTCTGATCTCTATATGAGATAAAGCTATTTTGGCCTGTGGAGTTATAACAGACAAACCATTAATGATACAGCCATGATCTTTTCTGGCAATCACCTAGGGGGGGGGGGGGGGGGGGGGGTGGGGGGGGGGGGGGGTGGGGGGG